CAAGTCGGTCCACTGCTCCTGTTTCACTTGCACCACATTCCCCTTCTTTGGTCCTCAACCTCTGGCCTGTCTGACCCTAACCCTAACTCTGACTCTGACCCTGTCCCTGACCCCTGACCCACTAACCTTGACCCTCTAACCCTGACTCTGACCCACTAACCTTGACCCTCTAACCCTGACCCAGACCCTGACCCTAACTCCATCATAGCTAAGACAACAGTGTGCCTTCATTTGCTTTCATCTCAAAGACACACCTGCCAGGCAAGTGCAAGGTCCTGAGTTAGATCCCTGGTTTAATATATATATATACTATATATGTAATATTTATATATAATAAATATATATAGCATATTTTCCCTAATTCATTAAGACTCTCATAAATCATGGGATATACACATACTTTGCCTTGTGTAATTTATGGGAATCTCAAGACTTGCTCAGACTAAACTTTCTGATTTAAGATCCAAAGATTTCATCTATGTGTTATAAGATGCTAAAGTAATAGGACCACTCCTATTTTCAGCCCAACTCCTGGACATGTCCTAATTATATGGAGGAATGACTGTTGCTGCACATACTTGTTGCCGACTTATGCCTCCAATTTTGCATCAGTCTTCCACTTCCAATGATGCATAAACATCTCCCACCATGGAAGATACGGCAACTGCCCGCCAGCCACCTTAACTAAGGCTTAAGTCAGACGTTTATAATTCCATCATACAGCTGTTTCTCAGGGATACTTACATTTCCTTGCAAATTTCCTTCTAATATACAAACATAAATCTTTCATTATCGTACTATTTTTCTCTACTCATTGTCTTAGCTGCAGCCCACAAATGCTATACATTCACCATCACAATGCAGAATAGTTTCTATATTTACTAATTTATTTAAGTGATTTGAGATGGTCTATGTAGTTTAGGCTGCCCTTGAACTCGAGGCAATCTTCTTGCCTTATAGCCTCCTGCTACAAGTGCTACGATTACAGGCATGTGACACCACGCTCAGCTGCTTTAAAGTGTCATCTACACACTTGAAACAGTTTTTTTTTATTTTTTAGTTTTTCTTCCGGTAACAGGAATCAAACTCACGACCTTACGCTTCCCAGGTAGGCGCTTTGCCACTGAGTTAAATCCCCAGCCCCTGAAAATTTTTAAACATTTCACAATTTTTAGTTAATGACTTCTAATGTGATTCCATAATAAGATTTATAGGCATTATTTTCGTCCTTGGAGGTCCACATTTAAAGCCCCAAATATGTTCTATCTTGATTAGTGCTTTCTGTACACTGCAAATGAGCACCAACCCTGCAGTTTTTGGTAGTTTATCATCTATATACCTGTCTTTCATACAGATATATAGTCTACCAGGGCAGTTAAAATCTATCACTGATATTCACATGCTTGTTCTCTCAGCTGACGGGCAAATCACATTTTCCAATTGTTTGTGGATTTTCTTCCAGCTCCGCTTAATATATTTTGAAGTTACAGACGTCTTTGCAATTGACTGCTACATGACAGTGAGCTCATTCATTATTAAATATCTCTTCTTTAGTTTACTTCTTAAACTCTACTTTTCTGATGTTTACATAGACTTTCTCCTGCTTAGTGTTTCCAGGTTAGGTTTAGCTTTATTTAAAATTTCATTGTTACTATGTTCCTTTGTAAGTGGCATACAGCTCAGCTTTGTAATTCTATTGAAGAATATATGCACCACTTACATTTATTGTGATTGTTGATCAGATGCCTCCCTGCCCCACTTGATCTCTGAGGTGGGACTAGGTACCTCTGAATAACTGCATAATCTACATTCTCAAAGTGGAAAGGCTGCTTCAGTAAGTTTCCCAGTGACAGCAACCAGACCTCAAGAGAGCGCTTAATATCATGTGTAGGGGGCTGGGGCAAATGCTGGAGGCAAGAATGCAAATAGTTATCATACCACTATGTTCAGTGCTAAGGGCCCAGACCAGCAAGGCAGTGCAAACAGACACATTGCCAAAGAAACCCCAGATGGCCTGGTTCAGAACCCCAACTTTCAAGCCCAGTTGTGGCAGGTAGAATGGCTCCCACAGACCCCTAGGTCCTAATCCCTGGAACCTGCTGACTGTGGTAACTGACATGCAAAAGTGAATTAAGATTGCTAACCAGCTGACTGTAAAACAGGAAGGCTGCCCAAATTTATCTGAGTAGCTCCCAGTAACCCCAAATGTCTCTCAGGAAAGTGAGACGCAGCATTCACAGAAAGTGGGGTCAGAGATGTTATGCTCCTGGCTTTATAGAATGAGTTATAATGATCACCTAACATACAATGGCATTAAGCCAACAAATGTGGAGTAAAAGCGTAATTTTTTACTCCCTTTTCTGTTATGCAAAACCACTAGATTGCAAGTTTGTAGGTCTTAAAAAGCTGGGCCTGGCATCGCACACCTATAATCCCAGCACTCAGGATGAAACAGGAGGACTGCCGCAAGTTTAAGGCTCGCCTGGGCTACACGGTGAGTTCTGGGCCAGCCTGAGTTACATAGCTTGCTCGCCCTGTCTCAAAAAAAAAAGTCTTAAGAGGAACAAAAGGAAAATGTACTGAGTTGGTCAATGTTATTGTACAGATGGCAAAGTTACCAAGTAACTTTGGTTGTTAAGTTCTAAAAAAATAGCACATGGACCAAGAACAATGTACAGACCAAATAGGGCTGAAGTTAATAACTAAACAAGACCCAGTGTCTCAGTCCTGTCTATGCCTCTGAATCTTTTGACAATAAAGGTCTTAAAATGTTCAAATGAGCCAGGAGTGGTGGTGCACCCCTGTAATCCCAGCACTTGGGAGGCTGAGGCAGGAGGATCGCTGTGAATTCAAGACCAGCCTGGGTTACAAAGTGAGCCCAAGGCCAACCTGAACTGCACAGCGAGACCCTGTCTCAAAAAGACCAAAAAAAAAAAAAAAACAACCAAAAACCAAAAAAACCCACAAATGTTCAAATGAGGCAGGCAAGACAATCAGTCACTAGGATCAAACAACTTTTAATATACTAATGTGCACCCAAGAGACATCTCAGTCTCCAGTATATGGTGTTTCTTAACTTACTGATCATCAAACCCAGAAAAAAACATAGTTCAGAAAATAATCCTCAATACATGAAAACTAGTATGTTTAAAGCAACTGGCAATGGAAGAGAAAAATAAAACTTGGAACCATACATGGAAAATTACACAAGAAAAAAAGACACAAGATTTGGCAGACATCAAAAGCCTTTTTAATTTGGTTTACACACATTTGACAAAGTATTTTAGAATAAAATAACCCATGAACAGGTACAAAGTATTTACAGTAACAGAACTGTGGAAAACAAAATTTATATATTTCTCGAACAGAAATGTCTATTTATAAAAATTTTTACTGTGAATTTGGAAGACTTTCAGCTCCTATCCACTGTCCTGGTCTTAAACCCCAATAGGAGGCAGCAAGGCCCAGGAGTAGGAGAGACAAACTAACACATTTGGCAGTTAGGATCATCTGTTGGTATGAGCTGGCGGGGGAGTAAAGGGCACGACACCAAATGGAAGACTCCACTGGAAATGATGAACGACAAAGACCCCATCACACTAATCCTCCTCTCAGCCTCTGGCAGGAGACTGCAAACTACTTTCAAATCATCAGTTTTCCCTGTTAGCAGAAAACCGGTGACCCTGAAACTCCAATTTTCCATGACTTGAAAACAAAAAAACATCAAAAAACTACTCAAGATTTATAGGCTAACTTTACATGGTCAAATAAAAGTAACTCTTAAGATTTGAAAATATGTTTAAGGAAAGGCAACAAAATTTTTCTCAACTTACTTTCATGCTGAATTCTTAAACTTCCACCTTTTTTTTTCCCGTGCTAGGATCAAACTCAGGGGCTGCACACATGGTAGCTAAGTGCTCTACCACTGAGGGCTATACTCCCAGCCCACCTAATAATGTCTATTGTCTGAAATCAGCCACAGCCACAGCCACACACACACACACACACACACACACACACACACACACACATCACACACACTTTAACTAGATGTTTAGAAGTTGCTCATTTATTAAATGGAAAACCTACCCCTTTGTAATTCTACTCAAATATACTTAGAGGAAATGAGAAGTTTTATCCCTCTGGAATATACATTAAAATTTTCTTGATTTACAAGATAGTCACATAACACAGACCATGAAGAAATAACCAAATGCTTATGCTCTGTAACACTATGAGTCTAACACGGCACACCATACACACTACCTTCTACTGATCCAACCAGGCTACATAACAAGCTATGATCTCAGGAAACAATGCCATAGAGCAAGTATTCACTATGTTTTAAAATCAAGGGAACCGGGGGTTTAGCTCAGTGGCGCAGCACTTGCCTGGCAACTGTGAGGTCCCGAGTTCAATTCCTGGTACCAAAAAATAAAATAAATCAAAGCTGCTGTTCCTCCAAGGGCGATTCAAAAGCTTCCATCAGCTTCTTATTTGTCTCTTCGTTATGTCGGCTTTGGCAATGAGTTAAATGTTTCTTGAAGCCTCTTGGGAAATTTGATTCAAAATTACAGCGTGGACATTTAAGTAAACTTTGCCCATGGGCTGCTACATGATTTTTAAGAAGAGATTCCAAAAGAAATGCCTTTCCACAAATTGTGCACTTGTAAGGGCTGTGAACATTATGCTTATTAACCAAGTGATGCAAAACAGCACCTTTTTTCATAGCACGGCAGCAGCAAATTTTGCAATAATACTTTCCTTTTCCACGCTTCATATATTTTGCAATCTCCTCTTCGGAGATAAATGCTTCTTTTTCCTCAGTGAACTGCAGCACATGTTTGGACTGCTCTGGACTGCTCATGTCCATTTTGCTCTCTTTGCCGAAATCAATAGACTCTACATCTACCTGCTCTTGATCGCTGCTTGACTCTTGGCCCTTAATATCTATGGCATCCAAATCTGTTCTGATGTACTCACTGCTGCTCAGCTCGGCATCAGAGTGCTCCTGGCTGTCCTTCTTAATTTTCTTGGAGGAAGGGAACAGAGCATCTTCTAAAAGCTTCTTCGGTGTCACCAAAAGCTCTTCTTGAACCAAAATATCACATTTTGGGTCACCTATGGCATCTATCTGGAGCTCATCGCCAAGCTCCGCTGTCTTCTGAGACTCTGAGAATACAGTAGATTTGGGGAACTCAGAAAAAAGAGAATGCTTCCTGGGCTCTGGGAAAAGCACACGTTTTCGTGGCTCAGGGGAAGCAGGAGGTGCAGTTTTGGTGGGCTCAGGAAACAACATGGATTTTCTAGGCTCAGCATCAATAGAGGGAACAGGTTTCCAGATATCTGAGGCTCCTTTGGGGGACTCTGATGGACCAGAAGAACCTGATTTCCGGGTCTCGGGGAAGACAGTAGGTTTCTGAGATTCCACAATGAAGGAAGACTTCCAGAGATCAGGAGAACCACCACGGGAACTTTTCTGGGACTCTGAAAAATCCAGGGAGGCAGGAGAAGTTTTCCGATGATCAGGAGAAAGCTTCCAAAGATCTGGTGACCCTGAGGGCTTCCTGAGCTCTGGAGAGCCCGCCGGGCTGCGGAGTTCTGGAGAAAGTGGTGGGCCCGGTTTACGAATCTCAGGGGATACTGGCGGAACTGCTTTCCAATGTTCTGGTGACAGGGTAGGAGTTGTCTTTTTAAGCTCAGGTGGGCCAGACTTCCATGACTCTGGAGATGTGGGGGGAGTTTTCCAGGAACCTGGTGAGACTGAAGATGACTTCCAGGATGCAGGAGATACAGATGAAGCTGGTTTCCAGGGTCCAGGTGACAGAGAAGGAATTGGCTTCCAAGGTCCAGGAGACACCGATGGGGCAGGTTTAGTTGGCTTCCAAGGACCTGATGATGCAGGACTCGATTTCCAAGGCCTTGGGGATCCAGGTGGACCTGCCTTCCAAGAACCTGGTGACACAGCTGGGGCTGGCCTCCGGGGCTCTGGGGAGACAGCAGGGAATGGCTTCCAAGGTTCAGGAGACTCTGATGGGGATGGCTTCCTTGGTTCAGGGGAGGCAGTCCTGGGTTGCTTCCGAGATTCTGGAGATGCAGCTGGGGATGGCCCCCAAGGCTCAGGAGAAGCAGAGAGAACCGGTGACTCTGGAGATGAGGCTGAAGGTGCCCCTCCTGTGTCTGTGAAATGAGAGTGTTTCTGGGACTTGGGGTTAGGAAGACCAGCCTTCACTGGTTCAGGAGATACAGGGGCAGGTTTCTGCGGCTCTGGAGAAGGAACAGACTTTTGTGATTCAGAAGCAGCAGGGGCTGGTTTTGGAAGTTCAGGAGAAGAAATAGGAGCAGGTTTCAGAGGCTCAGGGGGAAGAGAAGGTGCCTGAGGCTCAGGAGAAACAGGGTCAGTTTTCTGAAGCTCCAGGGGAGTAAGAGGAGCAGGTGTTGGAGACTCTGGAGAAAGAACTGGACCAAGTTTTTGGGTTTCTGTAGAGAGAAGAGGTATAGACTTCAGTTCTGCTGAGTTACAGGGCATTTTCTGGTGTTCAGGAACAGAAGGGCTATTCAAAGGATCTGTTTCCTTGTTTAACTGGTTTTCTGGTTTATCATTCCACTTCTCTGGGGCTGCATGTTTGGATGTGATATGATAGTATACATTGGAATACATCTTGCTGGTAAAAAAACATTTATGGCAGTGAAAAAGCTTTGCACTTTTCTGGTAAAATATCATTTTACCTAACCCCCCAGCATCCATCTCATCACAGAACTCTGGATGGACAGTGCCTATGTGGATCTGCACATTTTCATAATCTGTGCCTCTGAAACTGCAGTGGTCACACTCCAAACGCACTGAAGGCCGGCGCAGCTCATGGAACACTTCCATCTTCCCTCTGTCCCAACAACACTTGTGCTCTTTAAACACTGCAACAACAGAGTAGACATAAATTATTTTCATGAGACATAATTTAGAATAAAATGCTGTGATACTCCACAATATAACTGCATAATTTTTAAGTCCACAATGCCATATGCTTCACCTGAAAATACTTCTGAAAGACTGCAAAAAGATAATGCACCTAATTCTTAACTGAATCCCAGGCACTCTGCTAGAAGTTTTATGTAGATCATCTCATTTAATCTTCCTAACCATATCATGTAGACATTACATTCATTTACCAATGCCGAAACAGTCACTTCACTTCTCTGGTCCAGGTTTTAGGACTATCAGTGATCCAAGTCTGAGCCCAGAATTACGCATTATATAGCTTTACACTTCAATTCGAAAACCCTACATCAACAGTCATCAGCACACAATGATAAACATCAAAATGAAATCTAGGCTATTTTTTTTTTTTTTTTTTGTTTTTTCTCTGGTACCAGGAACCGAACTCACGACCTTGCACTTGCCAGGCAGGCGCTTTGCCGCTGAGCTAAATCCCCAGCCCCAAATCTAGGCTATTTAAGTGTGGGCAAAAAACAGTAAAGCCTTTCCAGAAGGCACTTAGTAATTAAATCTATCTATGAAAAGATAAGCTCTTTTAACCTGATGCTGGTTTGATTTTATGTCTACATATCTTGTAATGTTTTATCTACTCTAATATGAAGTATTTCATTCATTCGTTTTATAAATGGGCTGCTTTGTGTCCTGTGCTATTCTAGGCACTTAGGTTTACCATGGCACCTTGCCACATAGTGCTTATATTAGCCAGGGAAGTTAAGAGTGGAGAGCAAATGAAGTGCAGCTATCAGAAAATCCTCTCAGAACAAGACCCCTATTAGATCTCACAAATGATATGTTGGAATGAGCCTAAAGGCTGGAATAGTACAGCGAGAAAAGATGTTTTTTTTAAAAGTTTAAGCAAGTCTTTAAAGCCAGTGGTCAAAGTAACAAAGGCTTGTAATTAACAAATGTGAACCATTGGGTGTGGTGGGGCACGCCTGTAATCCCAGCACTCAGTAGGCTGAAGCTGAAACAGCCTGGGCTACATAGTGAGCTCAAGGCCAGCCTGAACGGCTAAGCGAGACCCTGTCTCAAAAGCACACGCGCGCGCACACACACACACACACACACACAAAAGAACAAATTCAATACTCACAACATCACTCCAGGGAATAACCACTGTACTGTGTGGCTGAAACAACATTCCCGCACATATAAATGCATACACACAATTTACACAAATGGGGCCACAGTAAACCTTATTTGGCAATCTGTTTTAAGAATTTATTTAGGACATTTTTACAAATGGAGCTCCCTTTCTTTCTTTATACGTGAGAATATTTCTATAAGGCCAGTTTCAAGAAGTGGATTACCTAGCTCAAAGTTATCTGCATTTAAAAATTACTGCATTTTGCCAAACTCTCAAAATGGTGTAATACTATTACTAGCACAACAGTGGAAGTACGAGGGACAACTCTTCAACTCTCTCATCAAAACGGAGTAAAACTAAAATCCAAATCTTTGTTATACCTAGGTAAAAACTGACATCTATTAATGTTTAATGTACTTTTCTTTCATGAAAAGACCTAACAATTTCTCTTATTAGCCCCTTGTCTCTTCTTTATGAAGTGCTGGTTCATTTTCCTCAATGATTTATACATTTTTTTGGTAAACTGTATGTTTAAGAAATTAGCCTTTTTATTGAAATTATTTTCCCAGTGTATCATTTACCTGTTTATAGCTTTTTAAAAACCATACACAATTGGTTTACAGAAAAATTTAAAATTTACAGCTATTTTCCCTATAACTCTAGGTTTAAAATTATGCCTTCTTACTTTATCATTTCTTCAAAACTTTAATAAGTTTCTCCTCATTTTTTTTGTGTATGCGCACGCATGTGCGCGCGTTGCTGGGACTTAAATCCAGGGCCCTGTGCATACAAGCAAATGCTTTACCACTAAGCTATATTCCCAGCCCATTCCATTTGTATCTTTAATCCATCTGATATAAGGAGGTTTGAATGCAGCCTAATTTTCCACCCAAAATTAGTATCTCAGCAACACAGATTACGCAAACCTTTTCTTTACCTGTGTAATATTCCATTTAGTATTTACTAAATTTCATATATAACTCTATCCTGGACTCTCCTGTTCTCTATTTCCCATTGCTTCAATTTTCGGTTTTGGTATGCTATTCTCAGCATGAGGTCCAGCAAGTGATAAATATATTCTCTAACTAACATACACAGTAAGTCTATTCACCAAGTGTGTCACAAAATCCTTCCTCATTAATACCCAAGCACAGGAGTGTTCACTGGGGGCCCAGCTACTCAGAAGGCTGAGGCACAATGATCATTCCGCCTAGGACACAAGGCCAGCCTGGGCAATGTAACAGGACCCTGTGTCTAAAAATAAAACGAATACATTTTTCTCATTAAAAGACATGCTAGCCAGGTGCAGGAACACACACATGTAGTCCCAGCCACTCTGCAGATGGAGGCAGGAAGACTGTAAATTCATGGCTAGTGTGAGCAATTTAATAAGATCCTGTCTCAAAGTGAAAAGGCTGGGGTGTAGCTCAGTGGTAGAGCACTTGCCTAGCATGTGGAAGGCCCTGAGTTTAATCCCCAGTACCACAAAATCAATAAAGAACATGTCATCATTTACCAACAGTGCCAGCTGCTGCTGACAGTGTGCAAATGCTCTGCGCTCTGCTGCTCATAAAGGTCCATCCTTTCCATGGGGCTGGTCCTCAGAAAATAGCACAGAGCAAAACACCTATAACCACAAGGTTGCTGTTTACTAACTTCAAAACCACTATGAAAAAAGTCAGTAGCATTTCTAACTCTGACAAGTTGGATTTTTAAAGGTAGTACTACTGATAATGCTATTTTCTATTACCTGTAACAACAGTGTCTTTTTTTTGTTTTTTGTTTTTGTTTTTGTTTTTCTTTCTGGTACCGGGGATCGAACTCAGGACCTTGCGCTTGCCGGGCAGGCGCTGTGCTGCTGAGCTAAATCCCCAGCCCCCAACAATGGTGTCTTGTTTGTTTTGGTTTTATTGTTGTTCTAAGGAGAAAAAGGAGATAGTATAGGAAACAAATGCTTTTATTCGGAAGTATTAACTCCTGAATTACACAGCAATTATGCTGTCTTTTAGAAAATTCCTTCTAAGGCTAAAAAGACTGTAACAGAAAAAAAATATACTAATTTAGCACTAGAGAAAAATCTCTAAAATGATCTTTAACTTACCAATATAAAGAAAAAAATGTAAAAACAATGGCTTAACCACCTCAGAACCCAGTGTTCATTCAGTAAAACTAGTTAACTTCAGAGACTCCATCTCAATAATCTTATCTGTCCATAGTGGCTGTGATAAACAGTCAAGGGCCACTCATAGTAAAGAGGCATCATATTACATATCAGGTGAACATCATACCAGAGGTAAGAATTTACTTGCCCCTCCTTCATCTACCTACCACTACCTCCTCTGGCCATCCCCAAAGTTCCACTACTGCACCTGCCTACCACCAAGTCTTATCATTATACTCAAACAATCTCTTGTTAAAAAGTTCCTCCAACAATGCTACAGAATTCACTCTTCATATTCCAAATCCTACCATAGATATGCGCATCCAGCACACCATTAAGCACTCTAGAGTGCAAATTCTACCAGATGTGTATTTACCTCACCATGACACATTGCTCCAGATGAGTGTATACTTTTCTAATTTTTTAAAGAACTCTAGGCACTTTCTAAAAATTCTTTAATCACAAAATTTTCTTTAACATGAAAAAATACAAAGTATTACAAGCAAACAAACAGCACATACATAGAAATGCTAAGGCAAAAATACTATAAACCCTAGACAAATGCTTCAAGAGTGGAGAAGAAACAAGCCATAATGTACTTTCTCCTGCTAGACTTACCAGCTGTCTTATGAGACACCTTAAAAGTGGTCTTCAAAGGGCAGGTAATCTACATAGCCTTTTGACCAATACACAGACAACAGCTTACAATAGGACAAAGATGAGAAGTTGAACCTGAAAAAAACAAAGGAAAGATAATCAAAATTACATTTCTGTGATAATCTTGACTACATAATAGAGCTCTGTGGGACCCCTCCAATGGTGATGGCTAAACCCAATAAGCCTGTGTACATACTTCACAGAAACACTAACAACAATGCCTGCAGTAGATACCATACATGTCTGCTTTCGTACCACACTAGTCTAATTTCATATCATACTAAACTATGGAATTATGCACTTGCATATAACTAGACCCTTCTCAAACTCATCATCTAACTTCAGCTTATGTGGTTTTAGGGTACAGTGATTCACATTTCTATTTTTCTGATGAACAATCAGACAGCTGCTAGCGCAACTACAGATCTTAATGGCAGCTGACATTTTGTTCATTATTGATGCTACTGACATGCAGTGGGGGAAGGAACAATACAATCAACAAGACCAAGGCATACAAGAAGAGAACTTTGGTAGGAAGTGGGATGGCGATATTCCAAACCAGGGGAGAAATGGATAGGCCTGTGTGAGCGACTGTTCTAGCCCCTTCTCTTCCTGCATACATTCCAGAGACACTACCATGATCTGGGTGAATTTACTAACAAGAATTGAATAGAAGCTGGGCGTGGTGGCACATGCCTATAATGCCAGCACTTGGGAGGCAGAGGCAGGAGGACTGCTGCTAGTTCGAGGCCAATCCTAGGCTACATAGTGAGTTCAAGGTCAGCCTGAACTACATAGTGAGACCCTATCTCAAAAACAATTAAAAAAATAAAAACCTGAATGGACTAAACTGGTCCTGCATAGGTAACTGTTGCTAGCATACTTCTGATAAGCTCCAGCACATCCATCTACTTTTCCTCTATTCCCTATACCTTGTCAGTGCTTTAATTCTACACCTGACCTCCATTCTTACTAACCCATTCACCATACTGCTACCAAAACTAAAAACCTGAAGTATCTTGCCTATTCATAATTCCTCAAAGTCTCCCAGATACCTTCAGCATAAAACTTTAACTGGGCATATAAAGCTCTTCAGTCTGACCAGACCAGCCACATGTAACTCTCTGACTCTTCAAGCCTCTAGACCTCCCCAAAACGCATTTCCTCTCCTTCACATTCTATTCCGTCTTGACAGCCATTAAAAAATCCTTCCATCCTTCAGACAGGTCACTGTCTTAAGTACTGGCAAATTTCCTATTCTGTAATTCCTGTACAACCTTCGTAAAAGGGGTATGCTTAGATGTATTCAATCTTATTACTGCTTCATGAAGGCTGGAGACTCATGCTTAGACTCACTGATTTTAAAACCAAAAAGGACCTGAGTGCCCATCTCAGGGATCACCCGCTTTAAAACGCTAAATCATCCCAGCCCTCGGGAGGCTGAGGCAAGAGGATCACCACAAGTTCAGGACCAGTCTGGGCTACACAGTGAGTTTAAGGCCAGCTTGAACTCAGTTCTGCTTTCACCCAGGTTCTTTCTAGTATATCATGATCAAGCACACTGCAATTTAGAAAGATCTTGAAAAGCCAGTTCAATGGGCCAAAACTAATAAGATAAGCCTTATCATTTAGAATCCACACATCCATTGGATAAATATAAGCCTATGTCCCACCTTCTGCCCTGAACAGAGTATTTGAGTCTCCAGCTGTCTCTAGCTGTGGGCAGGAGGGACGCTTTAACTATGAAAAATGCAAGAGTAGTTTAAGAACAAGTCATTTCTGAGTACAGATACTTACCTTCAGAAGGGAAAAAATACGAATATAGGAGCTGTTCTAGAATCACTAAATGGAAGCCAGCAGAAGAGATTTCAGCTTATCAGTCTTACAAACCACTTCATCAAAAACTGGAACACATTACTTTGTCAGTATGACCATAATTAGAAGCCAATAGTCAGTACAGGACCAGAAAGGTTATCAAAGGACTTGCATCCAACTTCTTCATTTTACAACAAAGAAAAACTGATGCTGAAAGAAAGAAACGACTTGTCCAAGACCAACAGGTCAGAGAAAGCACAGAAGACTAGGAATTTTTGATTCTGGATCTCTCTTGTACCACAATGACCACAGAATGTTACAGAACTGAGTCCAGAATCCAGCTTCCAAGTAAAGGCTACACACCTTTAATTCTTTAAAGTCTCAACAGTCTTAGCTATATTTTTTCAAAATTTTAGAGCTCTTAACACTGTAAAAGTAACTCCAAATTATCCAGATTAATACAAATTTCTCATCCTTCTTTTCACAATTACAGACTTGCATCGTGTCCCTTAGAACATAAACTCTATAGCCGCGTGTGGTGGCGCATGCCTGTAATCCCAGCACTGGAGAGGCTGAGGCAGGAGGATCGTTGTTAGTTCGAGACCACCTGGGCTACAAAGTAAGCTCAAGGCCAGCCCGAAGGGCATAGGGAGACCCTGCCTCAAAAAAACAACAACAAAAAAAGAACATAAGCTCTACTCAGTGGTGCTCTGCTGGTCCATTACCCAGTACTATTCAAGGCAGTACTATGCCATATGGTATCTCATCTTTTCCTGTCCAATCTCTCTTACTTGAGGTCTCATCATTTTTTAAACTACATTCACAGATGTATAGTTTTTTACATTAAAATCCTTAAAGTAGAGCAAGTTTAAAGTTAACCGTTTCAGGTCGGTGATACAGCTCAGGGGCACATCGCCTGCCATAAGGTCTTGAGTTCGATTCTAGGTATCCCGCCAAAAAAAAAAGTAACTGGGTTCTGTTAGCTTATCTATCCACTAGCATTTTTCATCATTCCTGATTTTTAAAAATTAGTTAAATTTATTTTGGGGGCAGTCTTAAGAAAAACTCAACAGAAAGTACAGAGTTCCTTCCCATATGTCTTTTACACAACCTCCTCTATTTTTCCTGTTATTAACATCTAACGTTAATTAGTGTGGGTCATTTGCAGTAAGGGGTGAACTAACATTAGTTTACGAAGTCTACAGTTCACATAAGTCACTCTTCATGTCGCACAGGTCTGGGTTTTGACATGTAAAGCACCATCCATCCACCATCACACTGGTCTTTAGCATAATCTCACTGCCTTAGAAGTTGTTCTCCTGACAACCACTGATTTTCCCCCTCTAAGGACGCAAATGATGGGTCACTGGATGACCCTAACTTTAAAACTGGGGAAAACCACTACGCCATCACCGCTCGTCACTCCCACCCGCAATGCGCCGACGACCTCTCCACGCCCCCAAGACCGCTTATTTCCCTTTCTGGTTAACAGCATCCCAAAAGACAAAAGCCTTCCGCAGGTGTTTTTCTACAGGCGACTTCAGAGCATCTGAGAGCCTGCTAGGGCAACAGGATCCGAGCCGAGTCTCCGTGGAGGCGGTAGTCTCCGCCTCGGGCCCAAGACCTTCACGATGCTATACATCTGCCTTCTTCAGACTCAGGACCCAGAAGTTCCCCTTCCTGTCCTCCGGGCCGCTCAGCTGACTTTTAAACGGCGATTTAGCAGAGCCAGTCGGCGGGAGGAGGGAAAGCGGGAACAGCCTGCGGTCCGCACCGAACGCCCGGCCCGCGCACAAAGGCACCAGCAGCCCCGTGCCCGCGACCGCCCGGTCTCGGCCTTGGCCCCGGTCCCCACGCCTGCGGAGGCTCCTCACCATTCTGCGCAGCGTCCAGAGGCTGCAGCGAGACCCTGCCCGAGGAGCCTGCGGGGACCTAGCTCGGCCTCCCCAATGGCGGCTGGAAGTTGGGCCGGCCCGGAAGTGCCACGTGCGCCCGCCCCGGAAGTGTCGTCACATTCCCCCGCCCATTTCCCCGCGCCCAGCGCGCGGGCTGTAGGCTGCGGGAAGTTCGGGGCGGTGACGTCCCCTCCTTGGTCTAGGCGGGACGCAGAGGCCTAGTCCCGCCCCCGTAGCCGCGCCCTCTAGCCTCTTTTTCTTTCTTTCTTTTTTTTTTCTTTTGTTGTATGAGTGAATTTAATTACAGAGCTAGGACTCTGCCCCTTGCAGTCCCAGGATATCCTTGGCATAAAGCCCTGATGGAAACAAGACGAATAATAGTTATTGGAAGACAGTAAATAGTTCTCACCGCGCTTCCTCCGCCAGAAGTTACAAACCCAGGAACTATCTCCTCCTTTTTCATTTTTGTTCCTGCGAATGCTGTCTCAATTCCAATTAAAATGCATGCACCTCTACTTTCGATGCTTGTCTGTAGGCTTTGAAAGATTGTGAAATCGGCTTACTTATACATCTATACACTTTATACACCTATATCCTTTCTGAAGTTTTGGTTTGGGGGGTTACTGATTCATTCTGCTTGCTAGTTTTAGATTGTGCGAGTTAAACCTGATTATCAACTTGAGCGGAGTAAGAGACACCCGCAGTGACAGGGTTGTGATGGCTCCAACCTCATCAAGGATGAAACCCACCAGGAGTACGCGGTTGCTGTTAGCAGAGGAGCCGGACCGACCCGGCAAGACAAGGCAAGGCAGGCTGACTAGGCGGGACCAGGCGGGGGAGGCGGAGCCCGGCCGGCCGGGGGCTGGGGCTGGCTGGGGAGGCGGGGCCGGCGGGAAGAGGTGGTTAAGCTACTGACTTGACTTTGTGGTTATTTTATGGTCCACCCCTGGAAAAGTCCCGTGTGCACTTGACAGCGTGTATGCTGTTGCTATCGACTAGCGTATTGTGTATTTTTTAGATATAGTTCGTTTATTGTGTTGTTCTCCTGTTTAATGACTTCCGTCTGCCTTTTCTGTCCCTTATTGTGGGCAGGGTATTACCAATATCTCTTCTGTTCTGCTGATAGTCATTGGATATGTATAATTCTTACATATTTTTACTGTAGTGAAGCTTATTGGTACATTAATGTCTGTCCTGGTCTTTTGTAACTTTTGTGTAAAGTCCGTTTTGTTTGGCATTGCTAGAACCACCTTGGTCTCTCTTGGTGCTGTTTGAATGCAAAGTCTTTTCTATTTTGTCAGTTTCATTCCATTTATATCTTTGGAGCTAAGGGGATGCTCTTGTGTACAGCATATAGTTGGATCGTTTTAAAATCCAGTCTGCCACTCTGTGTTTTCATCAGAGTGTTTAGCTGACTTACATTTAAACATTTCATGAGAACGTTTAGATGACTTACATTCAGATAAGAAAAGACTTGTGTCATTTTATTATTTGTTCTTGATATAGCGTTTTTTCTCTTGTATATATTCTGTAGCTATTTTCTTTGTGGTCCATTCCATAAACCTGTGGGGGAAATCTTACAGGATTTCTCCCTAATAAGTCTGTATTAATCATTTGGCTAGTTAAAAAATTGGGGGGAGGGGCTTGTTTTTGTTTCTTTGTACTGGGAATTGAACTCAGGACTTTATGCTTGCCAGATAGGCACTATGCCACTGAGCTATATCCCCAGCCCAGTTAAAACTTTTAAATCAAATATGTTTCCTGAATTATGTCATTCTTTGTCCAGTTAAGTACTTTATTATTTCTACCTCCCACTAACTAAGCTACAAAGTTATATGTTGGTTACCAAACAGTAGTATATATTTTAATTTTTTATTAAATGCATACAAAATTGTTGGCCATGATAGAAAACAAAAGTATTATTTATGAGTTTTAAAATCAATCTTATTTCATTATCCCAAGAAGCCCCAAGCTAGAGTTTTACACACTGACATACACACACTGAAGAGATATAACTCACACGACCACGCTTCTTGCTTCACCGGTAACTCAAATGTTTACCTAGCCTTTCTATTGCATTGTTCTACATTCATAATAAGGCACAGACTGTTCTATTAGTGCTGTATAATTTTGATCTTGACTTACTGCATGTAATAATCTCTCATGAGATGTGTTCATATTTTCAAATATCAAAGTCTCATTTTGAGATATAAATATCATACTATTTGAACAATAAAGTTATACTTTGTTGAGAAAATAAGGCTGGTTTGGCTGATTGCATTGATAAGAATTAACTGACAAAGGTTACATGGAGACTATTTTTCACAGATTGGATGAATTAAATCTGCAATCCAAAGCTTTGGCAAAACATTCATTTAAACATGCTTTAAAAATGTAGTACTTAGCTGGGCATGGTGGCACACACCTATAATCCCAGCACTTGGGAGGCTGAGGCAGGAAGATCATTGCAAGTCTGAGATCAGCCTGGGCTACAAAGTGAGCTCAAGGCCAGCGTGAACTGCATAGAGAGACTCTGCCTCAAAAAGACAAAATAAAAATAAAAATGTAGTACTTGCTATCTGCCAAGTCTCTGGCAGCTCTTAGGCATCATGCCAGAAGGTGGAGGTCTGGAAAGCAAGGTGGTACCAAATGTGGAGGGCTGAGAGCTATGGACTTCAGAGCAAGAGTGCTTGAGCTGTACTTGGTCCTCTTTTTCCTTTTCTTCTTCTTTTTTTTAAAGAGGTACTGCACATGGAACCCAGGGCCTTTGCACTGAGCTGTATCCCCACCTCTTTATTGAGAGGGGCTCTCATTAAATCACTAAGTTGCCCAGGCTGGTTTAGAATTTACAGTTTTCCTGCCTCAGCCTCTCAGAACCTCCATTTACTTTTTCTTTACAAGAAAACCATTTTTCTATTTTACTTTTCTCTCCATGTTTAAATGGTCAATATCTACTTAGTTGTGCTTCAACTGAACAGGCCTGGACTGAAGTAAAATAGAGAAAATGGGACTTGCTTCTAGCAGGAAGGGAACTTCTTAGTATCCTCCCCTCTGCATGTTACCCAGGGGCTGCTCCCATTCAGCCAGTTAGCAGATCTGTTCGCAGATTGTCCGTTAAAGATTTTCCTTAATATCTTCAATAGCAATAGTCCGAAGCAAGTGGAAATGAAAAATGGAAAGGTGAACAATTTTTTCCTTGTGTTTGGTTAATCTGTGGTTCAATATTTGGGTACAATTTGTACCATATCAGATCTGCACTTCCAGACAAAAATATAACTTGAAATACTGTGTTTAAAGAAATGAGTCTTCTGTTATCATTAAATTATTTACAAAAGAAAAAGAAGAAGTAGTAGTAGTTGTTGTAGCAGCAGCAGGCATGGTGGGTAGCACATACCTGTAATCTCAGCATTTGGGGGCTGGGGATTTAGCTCAGCGGCACAGCGCCTGCCTGGCAAGGGTTGTGAGTTCAATTCCTGGTACCGGAAACAAAGCAAAAACAAACAAACAAACAAAAAATCCCAGCATTTGGAGGCTCAGGCAGGAATCAAGGCCAGCCTGGTCTACATAGTGAATTCAAGGCCAGTCTGAACTACAAAGCAAGACCCTGTCTCAAAAAACAAATGAACAGTATATAGTACTGGCAGGTATGTATTGAAATTATTTCTCTGATCCCCTGCCCCTGTTATCCTTGTCTGTTTATATTGGGTTAAACTGTTCAACAAAAGGAAAAGAGTTGCAGGTTTGGTTAAGTGAGTTGACGGTCCTAGACACTATTGTGTTTACTTCTCAGAACTGAGAAACTGGATGAGTCGTGATTAACAAACGCTTTTTTTTTTTTTCTTTTTTTTTGAGACAGGGTTTCACTATGCACTTCAGGCTGGCCTTGCACTCACTTTGTAGCCCAAGCTGGTCTTGAACTCACAGAGATCCTCCTGCCTCCACCTGGGATTATAGGGGTGCACCACCACACCCAGCCACAAACCCTTTCAATAAAATCCAAAGAATTATATGATTAGAATGATTAAACTATTAGAAATAATTTTTCATTATAACTATTAACATTTTGACAGATAACTTGAAGGACATTCAAAAATTAAGAGGCATTAATATAGTAACTTCTGTTCCTTTCTACAGTGTAAATAAGTTCCTTAGCAATTTAATCAACAAAAATGAAAAACTGAAATAGAACTCTCCAAAACTGCATTACTATACTAGGAAAATGTATTCAAGTACTCACTCCATCCACCAAAAGATGAACCAATTGTAAAAACATCTCCATCTACCTGAAACAAAGTTTTCTCCCAAGAGAGAGTAATGTTCTGGACCCTCACCACCTTCACCTTGCTGTCTAAAAATATGTATGTTTTTCTGTCAAGGAAGTACAAAAACCCTCAGGATAAAATTATGTAAAACTGAAATATGAATGTATTAGTTACTCTTGTTGCTGAGACAAAATACCTAACACCCAGAATCAAGGAAGGAAAGGTTTAGTTAGATCACAGTTTGTAGAGGTTTCAGTCCATACTCGGTCGGCTCCAAGGCAGAGTGGCACATAGCAGAGAGCAACAGTTCATGGTGGTGAAAAACAGCAAAAGCAACAAGAGCAAAAAGGGAGGAGCAGCAGCAAGCAAACCTCTTTCCCTCGCTTACATTGTATACAGGCCACCTACCCTAGGGTGGGTGTAGCACTCACCCATAATCCCAGCATTGGACCATGAGTCAATCATAAACTCTAGAAGCCCACCCTATGACTGCATGAAGTTTTAGGGGAACATCTAGATACAAACTGTAAGAATGAACATTCCTGTAGGAGAGGCAGGAGCAAGGGTCTTGACAACCAAGGGTCAGGGAACAATGGTGTACACTGGTGTGCACTGGGACAAGCTCCTGGCCAAGGCTTGTCCTGTGCTTTCCTGCTCAGTACCTGCCATACTTGGCTTCTCCACTATCTTCTGGGGGCTGGAGAAAAGGAAAAAGTCATACATGGCTTACAGTCCATCCCACAATATGTGCAGTGTGAGTCCAAGTCTAGAGTAGAGCCTGGCAGCTTTGATGTTGGGCAATTCAGCATAGACAAGTGGCT